ATCATATTTTTTACTGTTCCCTATATATATATATATATATAAAGAAAGAACAGTAAGATATATAATCTGGTGTTCTTATAGATATTTTATTTTTACAAAATAGTGCTCAATGTAAATTTACAGAGCATTAATATTATAAATTAATTGATTTTAAAATATTTTAGATCAATTAATTTATAATATATATATATATATATATATATATATATATATATATATCTTAAAGAAAGAAAATTGCAAACGTTTTTGATTATTATGTGGATTTGTTTTAGTGTATATATTATATTATTTATTTTTTATTCTTCATATGATATACAAAAATAAAATATAGTATATACACTAAAACAAATTCACATTATAACCAAAAATGTTTGCAATTTCTCTCTTTTTTTTTAAAAAATATACATTTTTCTCTCAGAACAACTATAACCTTTCCCTTATATATATATATATATATATATATATATATATATACAGACCATAAATGAATATATTTAAATAAGCATGCATAGTTTAGTCCATTTCAATGTGCAGTTTATAACAATTTTATAGATTTCAAATGTGCTATGTACTTGACCAATCATTAACATCAATAATTGCCTTATCAGTATTTCAATTTTTATTGGATAATCAGGTGTCTGGCATGTGATTACTGTACAGTTGGATGCATCATCAGAAGCCAAAGTACTGTAGCTTAGGCTTAGAATACAAAATAATTTGTGTTAAGAAAAATATATACAAGTTTTTAAAATTATGAGGTTGCTTTTTATTTAGTAAAAGTCTCTCAAATATGATTAATTTTTTTCTAAAACATTTTCTTTAACATAACAATGTCTAATATACCAGTTTGTCTTATATTCCCCAAAATATGGTATATATTATATTGAAATAGTATATTCTATATTTTTTATAATTTTTATTTCATAGATATATTTTTATATTATTTTTATTATATATATATATATATATATATATATATATATATACAATATCATTTTTGCCATAGATTGAATTTGTAAAGTATAATAACACACACACACACACACACACACACACACATATATATTTTAGGAAATGGATTAAATCTGACAGATTTTTTGTTTTATTTGCTTAAAAATTATTTTTAAAATGGATATTCATATTTGAGTAGATTCTCAGTTTTTATTTATTTATTTACATCTTCCGATCTAAATATTTAAGAAATCTTTTTAAAAATATGTGTCCTCTGGCAGGATTTAAACCTGCAGCCTCTAGAGAAAACCACAATTAGATATGACATCTATCAGACCAACTCCGCCATGTAGGATCTCCTGATCAAACAAAGCCCAAATAATGCTTTTTAACACACATCTTCCTCCTGTGTCTCGAAATATACATATTTCTAAGGCACAGTTCATAAATTAAAATATATATATATATATATATTTTCTCTTTATATATATATATATATATATATATATATATATATATATATATATAGATAATATTAGTGGAAAATATACATATCGTATTTACGATTCCAATGGAAGAAATTATGACCATGGAATATTAGTGTTTAAGCCTTTTTATTATATATATATATATATATATATATATATATATATACATTTTCTCCATCAAGACATTCATTTCTGTAGTTCACTGCTACCAGCAAGCAGAAATATTTCTTCTCCTGATGATGGCCATGTTAGCTGAAACTAGTCAAGGAATGAAAATATTAAATGAAAATAATTAATATTAAATGAAATAATAATAATAAAAAACGAAAGAATATTAATCTACAACCCAGTGTGTCTGAAGATTTTAATTTTTCAATTTTTTAATATTTTTATTGTTCAAAATATATATATATATATATATATATATATATATATATATATATATATATATATATATATATATATATATATATTGTATATACTTGTGTATCATTCAGGCCACTAGATGTAAATAAATAAATATACTGTTTAATAAATAAATAAAAAACACAACATCTACTCAAATATCCATTTAAGAAATAATATTTACATAAATAAATTAAATATATATATATATATATATATATATATATATTATGATTATTTTTTTTAATTCATTTTGAATCTGATTTTAAGATAGTCTCATCATACACAAGATAAAATAAAGCATATATGCTAATTTTATACCTTGTATATAATGTGACCCTTTAAAATCAGCTTCAAAATTAGGTCTTCAAAAGTACATGATCCGGGTATATATATATATATATATATATATATATATATATATATATATATGATATTTGCTAAAAGGAATGGCTAAATTAAGAGAGTACCCAATACAATTTTTCGAAAACAAAAAATGTAGGGCAATATATGCTATAAAAATTTTGAAACATTGACCTTTATGCTACCATAGTTTCAGCCAGAATGGTTTCATCAGGCAGTCATGCAAGCATATATGGGAAATTGACTTTGTTAAAATGACACTATCAAAAAACGGATATCCGTTGGATGTTTTAGAATCCGTTATTCAAGATGTCATCAGTAAATTCCATAGGGTGAAGCCGCAATTAGCTGATAAATGCCCAGTTTATTTGCATCTTCCCTATATTGGTACAGAGGGTGAGAGTTTATCGAAACATATTTTACGTTTAATTAATAGTTGTTATTTTTTGGCAAATGTTAGGGTAATATTTGGTACACGTTCTGCTTTCTCTTTCATTCGTAAGGATGTCCTACCTCCCCATCATGTTAATTCAGTGATTTACCAATACAAGTGTAGTTGTGGACATGACTACATAGGTAGGACGTCCCAGCGTTTGGATTCAAGAATAAAACAGCATTTACCCTCTAGGATTTTGAATCTATCCTCTAGGAATAGCCAATTGACTAACAGTTCTGGTTCTGCCATTGCTGAACATTTAATAAATAGAAGGGAATGTGTTGAAAATTTTAGTGGTGACCGATTTATTATTTTATCTAGGTCCCACTCTACATTTCACCTCAAGGTCCTGGAGTCCTTGTATATCAGATCTCGTGAGCCTTCCCTTTGTAAACAGAGGGAATGCTTGCTGGGTCTGAATATTATTGGACTCTAGTCTCCTTGAAATTCATAATTTTTTTTTTTTTTCTCTCCCCATTTAATTACATTCATTAATTAAAATTAATTTACACGCTTTTAAATTCCCAGAATAAATAACTTGATAAGTCCTGGGACGAAACCAGTAGTTTTATTTTGGCTTTTGCTTTTAAAAAATGCCTTCTTATTATCTTTTCCTAGCAAATATACATATATATATATATATATATATATATATATATATAAAGACAAAAGGAAAACTTTTTTTTAATGATATGTTTTGCTCATTGAGGTACTTCATCAAGATAAATGTAAGGATTTTATTTTGCAGCAAAAATATCATTAAGTTTTTAAAATTTTTCAATTTAGGAATGCTCTAAAATATTCTTAAGGCTAACTGTGTAAGTAAAGGTAAACTATGGAAGATGCTAAAGTGATGTAATTTAATGCCTAATAAATGAAAGTGGGTAAATGTTGTTAATGTTGTCAGTGAATTTTATTTTCTTATTTGTTTATATATGTTTATTTATTTATTTTAAGGAAAAGTTTTCCTTTTTTCTTTACTCATATTGTCTTTTTACAGATATGTTTTATTTATATTGAAATTTTTACCCCCACCACACACACACACACACACACATATATATACATATAGTTTTAAGGTATGCTATATTTATGGGTAAAAGTGCTCAATATTAGGTTTAGGTCAAATATAATTTTTTTTTTGTGAATAGGAGTAGATAGGATCACCTGTTGTCCAGTTCACACTCCTCCTCCGTCTTTTGAACGAGAGAAGATAATCCCTTGTTTCTTGTTTAAGATTGGGTTTCAGGTTCTTTCTAAAGTCTTTTCTTTCTCTTTCATTTTCAGTCCAGTAGCCTCTTGTGTCTTAGTGATATTAATGCCTTGTTCTTTTTTAAAAAAAAAAGAAGAAAAAGTGGACACTAAGGTACTCATTGAGCAGTAACTGTTTGTTTTATGCTTAAATGCAAACTTCAGGCCTTTTCATACATTCAAGCATAAAACAAACTGTTTTGTGCTGCTGTGTTGGCCCCAGTGTCCAATTTTATAATTATATTTATATATTCAATTATATATGTTTATGTAAGCTAACAACATTACATAGTTGTGCTTGGCTTACATTATACTTTATCTTTGTATAGCAAAGTTTGGAAATAGGAAAACTATTTTTCTTTGATAATAATCAAGATGTCTAATGTACTAAGTATTCTTGACCAGATTATAAAATAATGCACTTTTCAGGATTAGAGATGAGTTGAAATTACATGTAAAAAGGCCAACACACAAACAATTATTTTGCTGTTGTTACTTATTGAAATTTATTAGCATGAATATTTGGAATATTTAAAATTACTGCTAGTTCCTACGGTATAAGAATTGCCGCTACACCCAATTGCATTAAAATGCAGCATGTAATTAATTTTAGTACCACAAGTCTGTTCAACTGTAAAAAAATATGTTCAGCTTTAATTTATACTTGTACTTTAGGCTCCTCACCCACCATTTCCAGTTCAAGCTGCTGGTTGGACATTTTTAACATGAATTTTCAGGAATTCTTGACAAGAAAGAGAATTTAACTTTTCTTAATGCTATAAAAACAGACATATTGAAATTGTATATAACTATATACAACAATAACAAAAATTGAACAAACAGGGGGGGGGAGAGCAAGAATAATGAAATAAGTCACCATAAATTGGTGAATTGAAACAATACCAATAAACAAGAAAATAACTAAAAAGGCAAACTGGTTTTCATTCTCTGCTCTTTAGAGGCAATCAAGTACAAATGTGTAACTTGTGTGCACAATGTTTTTAAAAAAAAACAATAAATTCAAAACAGGAAATCATCAGAGGAAAAAATATATATAATCACACTCTTATATTAAGGTCCAGCAGCCATTCCTTCTCTTACAGGATTACGGTCATATCACATTGAAAAACCAGTTCTCATACGATCATTAAAGTTAAGCAATGTTGAGCCTGGTCAGTATGTAGATGGGTGAGCACTTAGAAATGCCAAGTGCTGTAAGCTTGAATGTGCAGGTGTGTAATGAATAATGAATCAGAATTAGAAATCGGACAGCTGAGTCCAGTTGGGTTCGTTATATTCACTTATGCATAAATGCCCATGGGAAAGGTATGAATCCACATTTTTCTTCCCCCATTTGGCTATAAGTAGTAGGACTTGTGTCAGTAAACCATTATTATCACCCTCCAAAATTCTTACAATTAAAAATTATTTTCTAGCTTTAAATAATCTACCTAAAACAAATTAATCAACTTTCTGTTTGCAGAGGAAAGGCTGCTAAGACCTAATGTATAATGTCTCTAATATTTATAATATATATATTTCAAGTGGCAAGAGTGCTTTCTGCTGATTATATTAAAAGAGTCCCTAGTAAACAATATATCACACACCGGATTATTTATTAAGTGTTCAGCATTCGCTGAAACTGAAGTATTAACTAGCTTATACAAATTATCATGTCTCCCATATAGCTTTTCAACCACTGCTAATTATGTTTTTTTTGTTCATTAACCAAATCATTTCTGTAGTTGGTTGAACAATCATGATTAGTGCTGATATTGCCAATTACATTAAGATATAACCAGGCTACAGTGAAGAAGTAATGTGAGGAACCCTTCTGAAATTACGACTCATTTTGGGAATTTATTAATGGCAGTGACACCTGAAATGTTATGTTTCTCTAATAAGAAAACATTATTTCTCATTTAAAGTTACTACTTCATAATTCTATTTGACTGATATATTTACCAAGCTTTGCGCAGTCAACTTTGTTGATTTTGTTTAGCAGCATATCAACCTCTATGGGTTATTTTATACTGAAATCTAAATATTTTAAACACAATTTTATTACTTCAACTAAATATATTTTGAATGCAATTGCATGCCTTCAACTACAGATAGATTGTGTTGTTGGTCATTTTACTATAAAATGTATTCTTAGTAATTCTATTATAAAATATATTGCTGCTCATTTTGCTTTTGATGCAATGGAATAGCCTGTCACTCCCATGAGTGACTACACTATAGGTAGTAACTACCTGTAAGTATCTGTAAGTCAACAGACTACAGAGACTAGCTGCGACCTGTTCCAGCTATACAGTTGAACTCTCTGCCTTCGGGAAGAGAGGAACCTGGACGAGGCTCTGCCGAAGGGCAGAGTCTCGTTCGGGGAGGTAGACTGCCCCTAAACCCGTTTATGCGGGTTCAAAAAAGGAATATTTTTGGCCAAAGCCTATGGGCTTGGAGAACACACGTTAAACCGGCCTTGTGCCACATGCAACCCTCGCATGGGGTGGGGGGTAGCTAAATATACTAGCTGTGACCTGTTCCAGCTAAACATTCAAACTTTCTGCTTCTGAGCAGAGAGGAACCCAGACGAGGCTCTGCTAAAGGGCAGAGTCTTGTTCGGGGAGATTGACTGACCCTGAACCTGTTTATACATGTTTGAAAGGGAAAACTCGGCCTTGTGCCACATCTACCCTTGTGGGTGGGGGTGGGGGTGGGGTCTAGTAAATACTGACTAGCTGTGACCTGTTCCAGCTAAACAGTCGAACTCTCTGCCTTTAGGGTAGAGAGGAACCCGGACGAGGCTCTGCCGAAGGGCAGTCTCTCGTTTGGGGAGGTTGACCAACCCGATCCCATTCATGCGGGTTCGAAAGTGAATATTTTTGGCTGAGCCTACAGGCTCGGAAGACCCATGTTAAACTCGGCCTTGTGCCACATCTACCGTCGTGGGTGGGGGTGCTAGTAAATATTGACTAGCTGAGATCTGTTGAGTACGACTCACTTACACAAGAACTATTGACCTTCCAATAGTAGCACTCACTACTGGATTGACTTGTGATGACCTTGTGCATAACTGTTACCTTTATTCTTATTGTATTGGTTTTTTACAATAAACCATTACTTATTTTATCCATCTTGTTTTTCAAGTATATATTCCTATTATCACGGAATATAACAGCTTTAAATACATGTTGTTGGTAATTTTACTATAAAAGTATACTTTTATAATTTCATAGTGTGTTGTTTTTGTTTTGGGGTTCACTATTTACCCCTAGCTTGGACCCTAAAAGATGCTACCATTCTAGGTCACAGCAATTAAGAGGTGGTTCAGTGCTCCTCAAAACTTCCAATCTCCTACTCAGAGGCAAAAGTCATATAGGGGGGGTAGAAAATTGCATTGTCAGGCCCTTGAATTTTTAAGTTGGATGGCCTGACCTGACTTGAAATTTTAGCTTTTACTCAGCTTGAACTTTGAACTTTGATATTAATATGAAATTACCTCATTTACGAAAAAGATCTAAATTTTGAATTTTATAGATATTTACTTTTATTTCTTTTTATCGCTGCCTCTCTTATTTATTTTTCTTTCTCCCTCTTTTTGTTAATGTATTTCATTCTCTTGGTCTTTTTGAATTGAATAACTCCTGAATAGTAATTAAGTTAAATTTAACTGATTCAGTATGATATCCTTCCATTTTTTTCTACATTCAAATAAGTCAGACAGTTAAATGCCATACATGATGCCCGCTTGGGTGATCATGTCTCTTACACTACATGACTGACGAGGCAGAAGATTTTCCACGCAGTAGGTGGCCATTTCTTTCTGTAGAAGAGATGGATTCATAACTTTCCCAAGGGAATTTATGCATAAGTGAATGTAATATACTCAACTGGAATTTGAACGCGGTTCTCTGATTTCTCATTCCAAGCCAGTTACATCACAAACGCACATTTGCAACATCATGCTTTGAATTTTCTTTCAAGTCTGACTGTTAGTTTCTAATAACAATAAACATCAAAGAGAGAGGGGTTCTAATTTAGTTATCTTCTATCTGCTGTGTCCCTTTGTAAATTTAATTTGTATTTAATCTATTTACATGCAGTCTGTTGTCCTCATCTTTGTTGCTGTTTCACATTTTGGCCATTATGCCCTCTGGACTTCATCAAGTGTATGTCAAACTGGGTAACCTACAGGGAATTCCATGTATGAGAACAATAGTCCATATATAAATAACATAAATAAAGTTAGTTAATTTTATGATTCTTTTACAAGGAATCAATAAGCCTAAAAAGGAAATATCCTACAAATTGATGATCATAATTTGAATATTTGCCAAAATAAAATGTAATTATCATTGATTAAATCTTAATATTTCAATATTTATAACAATCAAACTTGCAACATTAACATTTTAATGATTATGTTTTGAGACAAACCAAGAAAAAAGTCAAATGGAGTACAGATCGTTTGAATGCAAGATGAACTTCATTTGATGTACTTTTTATTTTCCATTGTTGTGCACAATTTCAAAATTGTTATTAAAATCTACTTTATTGTGTTTTTATGAATATCAACTGAATATTTCAGATCAAACACCATTTATATAAGCCACATAACTGAGAATGTAAACTTAGAAATTGAAAAGAATTTTACTTTGCATTCCTTGAGTTACAGATAATAAGAGCAACCTATTATCAGTGTCAAATATGGGATAGACATGAACTCTTGTGGATTTCAAAGTAAATATTTTTGTATCTTGATCTATTGTAGCCCAAATCTTCTAAAATGACATAACTTGATGAAGTCAAATTGTCAAGTTTTTATCTAACCTTTTAAGGAATGGTGGTAAATACAGATTTTAGGGTAGGAGGTGAGAAGACTGAAAAGTTTGCAGGCCCTGTAATGAAGGGAATGATCTAGATCCATGAAATTTATAAGTTATTGTATTTCAATAAGTTTAGCAAATTTCTTGAACCCTTCAAAATGTTTTGTCATTGAAATACTGCTCTGTTGCTACTAAGACTTCAAAAAATTGAAAATTTTCACCCTGTCAAACTCTTTTTAAGGTTTGAAAACAGAATAGTCAAATGGAGCAAAACTTAGTGACTAGAGTAGATGGTCTATGCATTGAGACCCCAAATTCTTCAAAACATCTATTGTCTTGCTAATCTTTTGAGTATGTGCATTATACTGTAAAAAGAGAACACTTTTGTGCAGTTTGCCGTTTTTCTTTCAAATCCTTTAATTAATACATCAAGTTATAGTAATATTCTGTCCCTTTCGAAGATAGATACTCATCAAAATTTCTTCCTCATCCCAAAAACCATAGTCATGACCTTGCATGTTGACTTTTAGGTCTTGAATTCCCTTGGTTGTGGAGAACTCAATTGCTTTAACTGCATGACCTGTTATTTGGTCACTGGATCATAACAGCATAACCCTGTTAATTAACAGTTACAAAATCTACTAGGAGTAATTTCTGGTTAGCATCTAAAGTTTTTGGTACCCTCTTGTCTGACAGCTTCTGCATTCCAATCCGCTCATGAATTGTAATTCCAATGCATTCCCTGAATGTATCTGGTGTATATTTTCATTATTTTGTTCAAGATTTATTGAATGGTCAAAATTAGATCATGACCATGATTAACAATCTCAGAAGCTTATACTGTTGAAGGCCTCCTAGACCTTGCTTCATCTTGCATTTCAAAACCTCCTTGATGAAAGTTATCACACTACAATTCACAGCTGAATATGATGGGCACTTGCCTCCCTTATTGATTGGAATGTTGGAATTTTCTTTTGCAGGAACAGAAATTTCATCATGGCAGGAGTTCAACATTTAAAAAATCCATACTTTCTGTCAGTATGATTCAGTTAATGATCTGAAGCAAAAAAAAATATGTACAAAGATCCCCAAAATTGGCACTTTATAATATAAAAGAATACTCTTTCCAGCTACAGACAAAATAATGTTCAGATTTTGAGAAGTGGTTTGGGCCAATAACTTTTCAGCACTCTCATGCAGTGAAAATTAGCAAATTATTGATTGAAGTTACATCTTTTAAAAATCCCTTTTGTTGTAATGGAATGTCCCACATTCCCTATCATCTATGTGGACTGACTATATCAGTAGATATATATAAGCACAGGATATACCTGGTGGACTTGCTTCGGCAATTAGTTGGCGATTCATCTCCAACTAAGCTGATCAAACT